TACCCTCCCACCACAGACCACGACCCGTCCCACGCCAGCACCCACGACCATGTCGAGATCTACGCTCCCACCACAGACGACACATCCCACGCCAGCACCCACAACCACCCCTGAATCTACTCTCCCACCACAGACCACGACCCAACCCAAGCCGGAAGCCTCTCCTCAAACTCCGTGCGAAACGCCGTCGCAGCCAGAGACAGCAGCCCTGCCCCAGCCAGAGCCGGGGGCCCCCGAGGCCGAAGCCCCACCTCAGCCAGAGACTGAAACCCCACAGCCCAGCCCAGCACCTCCTCGGGGAGAGACCGGAGCCCCCGGACCTCCGCCCCAGCCCAACCCCCCCAAGGCTCACAGAGGCACCGTGGCCACGTTCTTCAAACTGCTTCAGAATTTCCTACGTGCCCTGCAGAAGCAGAAGAGTGTTGCGCGGCTGGAGCACGCGGGGGACCCGGCTCCCCCCCAGAACTCGGGACCACCAGCGGCCACTGTCCTGCCCGAGGACGCGGACAAGCCCTTGCGGACAGAAGGAGCCCCCCCCGGTACCTGCGGCACACGGATATGCTGACAGACCGTGGCTGCGCCGCGTGGCCCCAGCGCAGCTCCCGCGGCTGTTCGCTGGCCGAGCCCAGAAAGAAATAAACGTGTGTTTGTTACCCCGCGTGCCGCACTTCTCGCCACGCCCTGCCCGCCGAGGCCCACGGGCCGCCGCCTGCGCCCTCGTGCCACACGTCCACGGCCGGCTGGCGTGGCAGCACGCCTTGTGGGTGCCGCACGGGCCGGCACACGGCACGACAGCTGGGGAGGCTGCGCGGGGACGGCTCCGGGTCGCGCCTGTGCGCAGGCCGCTTCTCAGCCGGGCGACTGGCACGTGGTGCTGGTTGCCGGAACAGTCCGGAGCGGCCGCTGGGCTTCCCAAGCACGAGGACTGCACCACACAGGGCAGGGGCCAGGCCTTACGGGGGGGCGGGGTGCTGCTGAGCGGAGAACTGAGCTGGGCATCTGCTGCCCCACAGGGAAGGCGGGTGGGCCGTGCCCATGTGTGTGCGGCCCTGCGCCTTCGGGACATGCTTGGCGTCCCGCTGAGACCCCGCAGCCGCTTGCCTGGGCCCCGAAGGCAAAGTTTTGGCTGGCAATGCTGCGCGCTTTGACCGCAGCTGAGGGCACCGATCCTGGCGGGGGCCGAGCGCGATGCTCTGTGCCGCCAGATGGGACGATGCGGTGGGTCCTCTCTCGCACCCTCCTGCAAAATGCCGATACGGTACTCTCAGGTGCTGCAACGTCGGTATCCGGAAATATTCCGTGCTGCGGGGCGAAAAAGCCAGCGCAGGACGGCCTGCGGGTGCTGGGGGCCGGAGGGGAAGGGGCGGGGCAGCAGTGCGCCAGCAGGCCCATCTGGGGTGAGCGGAGGCGCGCCGCCAGCCAGCGCACGGATGGCTGGGGGGAGGCCCGGCCCAGCCACCCAGCCAGGGCCCTCAGCTCTGCCGCACGGCCATTTTGCACCACGTTTCCAAGGCAAGCCAGGCCGCAGAAGGCCCAGCCTCCTGGCTCAACGGCACCCGAGGCCCCATCCTAGGAGGCGCCCCCCCCCCCATGGCTGTGCCCGGCCCACAGCAGCGCCCGCGGCTGCTGGTGGCCCAGGCACCTTCGTGCGGCAGGCGCTCCGCTCAGAGCGTGCTGCTGCTGCCAGAGGAAAAGGCACACCTGAGGTGGCGCTCCGGCTCCCAGAGGGGCCGAAATCCGCCAGCTGCCCCTCCTGGACGGGGCTGGTCCAGCCGGGTCCCCGGCCCGGTACCTGCCGAGCGAGAGGCCGAAGCCCCTTGGGAGCAAAGTCCACGTGAGCGAAGGGGCTTGCCGGCTGGCCTCCCGCCGCAGTGGGCATGGGGCGATTCCGCTCCCCTTGAACCGTGCCAAGCAAAGCGGGCAAGGGCCCACCCAGAGGTGGGGCAGAGGCCGCTCCTGCCCCATAGCGTGTCCCGAAGCGTCCGGCAGGCCGGCCTGGAGAGCCCACAAGCAGACATGCGCACACAAGCCCCCCATCCCCCAGCAGCCTGTGCGCATGGCGTGCCTCCAACACCGGAGGACGCGAGGCTGTGCGCGGCCTCCTCTCCCAAACTCTGGCCAGGCCCCTTTCAAAGCCAGCCAAATCGGCAGCCGCCCTCCCCGCCCCCCGCCCAAGCGAGTCCCACGTTTCCCTGTGCGCTGCCTGAAGGCGGCCGGCCGCCCGCCGGAGTCCGAGTCTCCGGCTCATCGGCCTCCTGGGGGGCCCTTTTGTTCCAGCTCGGAGAGGGACGGCACTGCACCGTGTCCTCGGGAGCCCTTTCCTGGTGGCTCCGCACCAAATGAGGACCCCATCCAGGAACGCAGGAAATCTTTGTTTATTCTGCTCCGAGGTACAGCACGTTTGCTCTTACCGACGCCTGTCGGCGGCCCTCCTTCGGGACACGTCCACTCAGCACCAGGGCTGGACGGAGGGGGAGAGGGCTGCCCCTCGTACGTCCCGCCTGGGGCTTCCGAGAAGCATCTCGTGGGCCTGGGGGTGGCCCTCCGGCCCGATCCAGCCAGGGGGCCGCCAAGACCCTTTCCGCTCCCCTGGGGAGGGGGCAAGGAGACACGCCAAGGCTGCACTGCTGGTCCTTCAATCTCTCCGTCGAGGCAAGCGCCTTCCTCCGGTGCTTGTGCCGGCGGCCCCAGGGCAGGGGAGGGGGCCTCTGGGGCCCCGCGCCCCACAGTGGTGGCCCGTCCTCGGGGGGTGGAAGCTGTCAGGCCGTCGGCTTCAGGGAGGGCCGCCTGCCGCCCCGACACGGGGGGCACTGCTCCCCCGAGTCTCTGCAGAAGGCGTGGCCTCTGGCTGCGTGAGGGCGCGGGGGCAGGAGCGGGTCCTTCCAGTCCTGGGCTCAGGTCGGCGGGGGGCCGTCTCCCGGGCCACTCTCCTCCTTGCCAGCCGAATCCTCCTCTGCTTTCTCCAGCCCAATATTCTACGGGGGAGCAAAGAGAGAAAGCGGAACAGCCCCGAACGAGCCCCGGCGGCCCTAAAGGGTCCCTGCAAAGAGCCTCCCGGCGAGCGGCACGAGCCGTCTCCCGGCTGCTCTCGTGGCCCGAGCCTTCGCGGGGTGCTCTGGCAGAGGCACAGATCCGCGTGGCCAGGCAGGGGGCGCCCCTCCCGCCTTCAGCGCGTGCCCCGCCGAGAGACTCGGCCAGCAGGGTGGGGGGCGGCTGGGCTGGGCCCCGGAAGTCCTGCGCTCCAGCCCTCCCTTGGCCACGAGCCAGTCCTCCTTCCCGCTCAGCCCGACCCACCTCACGGGGTCGCTGCGGGGAGATGGAGATGGAGCGGAGGAGCAGCACGCAAGCAGCCCCTCGCAAGAGGAATGCAAGCCTGTCCCCCCAGCCATGCCCACCTCTGCAGCTGCACTCGGCTCCGGGGCCAGAATAGTATACCGGGGCCTTTTAAAGTCCACCGGGGCAACCAGGGCCGCTCCCTCTGGCTCGGGCTCGGGCTCGCTGCCGGCAGCAGCCTCCCATGCGTCCGGCGGGGAGAGGGGCAGCCAGCAAAGCCCCCGGGGGCTCCTCAGGGTCCTGGTCCGCCCCGACTCCGCCTGCCCCGCCACCTGCACTGGCTCGGGGAGGGAGCGTGTCGGGGCTGCCGACTCGGCTGTCCAGCCTGGACTGGGCCCTGTGCCCACACGTGCTCCCGCCGGGGGTCGGGGTGCCCCCGCAAGTCCCGGGAGCAGCGGGGGGCCGGGGCCGGCCTGCTGCTTTCGCCAGAGGAACAGCGTTGCGTAAATGGCTTGTCCTTTGGCCAATGTCGCTATTGCCTCTCTCCTCCGTCCGAGGACACAGCAGGCCGCCGCCGCCGCTCTCCCCCCGGTTGCTCGCAGCAGCAGCAGCAGCACCAAGCGTGTCGGAAGCTGAATGACCAAGAATCTACCGCTGCAGCCACTGCGCTTGCTCCGAGCGCAGTGCCCCTTGCCCTATGCGCCAAGGAAACATGGCGCCCTGCCGAAGCAACGGGAAAGGCGCACGGCCGGCGCAGCACCATGCGCTGCCGGAGCTGCCATGAGGCGGCACGTGTGGCCCGGCAGGCCGGCCTCTGAGTCAGAACCAGGGGTGGGAAGGGCCCCCACCGTGGGACTCAGAAGCCTCCGGGGGGCAGGGAGGCCCACCCTCGAGTCGCCGCGCACTCGCCCGGGGGGCTGGCGGGGAGCCTGCGGGCGAGGCCCTTACCTCCAGCTCCTCCATGACTTCGTCCAGGAAGTCCCCCGAGTTCTGCTTGTAGGAGACAGCCAGCTGGATCGCGTCGTTGAAGATCTGCGGGGAGGCGGTGGACGTCGCGCGGGGAGCCAGGCGGGCCCGGGCTCTCCCCACCCCGGCGGAGCGAGGCGGCTGCGCCAGCGCCAGGCGCCGGCTGTGCCCGCCCCTCGGCAGGCGGCTCCCCGCGGGGCAGCAGCCCCCGCCCACCTTCACCACGTTGGTGCCGTCTGCCGCCGACACGAAGTAGAAGGGCAGGTTGAACTTCCGCGGGAAATTGAAGCTCTTCTGCGTCACCTTCATGTCAGCTGGAGAAACAAGGGGACGGGCGGTCAGCCCGATGGCCCCGGAGAGGAACAGGGGCACCGCCCCCACGCAAGCGATGCTGCCGGGCCTGGGACGCCACAGCCCTGGCGGCGTAGCGGCCTTGTGGCCCTTCTGCTCTGCCCGGAGGTGCCCCCACCCCTGGCTGGGAATTCCACCACCTCCCTCCTAATTCGGCCGCCCCCCCCATTCAGGCAGACCCCCTACCAAACCGGGGGGGGGGGCAGAACCGTTCACGCTCGCGGATGCGTGCAGCCCCACCAAAATCAGCCCCGCTATCTGAGCAGCAGCGCCTGAGAAACGGCGGGCTGCAGGGCTGCCCCACGGGTGACGGGACCAGTGGGGCTTCTCCATCGGGCTGCAAGGTCTCCAGGACGCCGCCCGCCCTGCCCGCCAAGTCCAGGGGCCGAGCGCGATTTCGGCACCCCATTTCCGTGCTGGCCAAGAGCTGGAGCTCCCTGGGCGGCTTCCGGGACGCCCCGCACACAGCCTGACTGCCCCGCAAGGGCTCCCACGGCCCACGCCTCCCCCGGCGCCGAGGAGCAGCTCTGGCGCCGCCCCCCTTCTTTGCCCCGGTGGCTCCCGCTGCTGCTGCTGCTGTGACTGCTGGGCAGCAGCCAGCGGCTCCGGACTCTTACTGGGCTGTGTCGATTTTATTTGGAAAATGCACAGGCCACTCCCTCCCCAAAAGTTAACCACAAAGGCAGCTGGACACTAAAACTAAACAGCGAATATGCAGACCAGCAGCTCACCTGCCCCTGGACACACTCTGTCCTCGTCTCCCCACTTCCCTTGGAGCAGGTTGAATAAGCTGCGCCCCTCCAGACGCTTTAACCTACAACACCCAGAATCCCTCACCAGTGCTTATGCTAGCTAGGGGTGATGGGAATCGTAGGCCACTGGACCGGGAGAGCCCCGGGCTCCCTTCCTGTTATACATTTCCCCCGGAAGACATTCTGCAGCCCTGCTGTCCTGGCAAGCAACCATGACGCCTGCTGAAAACGGGCTGAGCAGCTCTCTGCCCCAGGCGCTCCGCGAAGCCCCCAGGCTCTGCAGCCGCAGGGTCCTCGCCGGCAGCATCGGGCAGCCTCACACAGCCCTCGCTTGCCCCAAGCAGCCCCTCGGCCACAGCCCTAAAGCCGCTGCAGCCGCCAAGGTCTCGCTGGGCTCGACAAAACCCAGAAGACAGTTCCAACATTTGACAGCATGCAGAGCGGCGGAAGGATCGGCTCCGCCCCCCCCCGCGGCCCCCGAAGACCCACCGTCGATCTTGTTGGCCACCACGAGGCAGGGGATGTGGGGCCGGAACTCGCGCAGCTCCTTGTACCAGTGGCTCAGGTTCTTGTAGGTGACCTTGCGCTGCACGTCGAAGACCTGGCGAGGAGGCAGGCCCCGCTGTGAGGGGCACGCCGGCGGGGGGGGGGGGGGCACCCTGCGGCGGTCACCAGGCGCTCCAGGCCCCCGGCCGCCCGGTGAACCCTGCGAGGCGCAAGGAGGCCCCCACCCCGCAGAAGGCGGCCGCCCCCCGCCCCTGCCCAGGGCGTCAAGGGCAACGGCCGCAGCCGCCGGAAGGGCGAGGGTGCCGGACACACGCGCGGCCCAGAGGGCGCTGCCGACGGCTCCCCAGGGAGGCTAGGCATGCCACCCCCTGCTGCCCAGAGCAGCAGGTCACGAGGCGGAAGGACGCCCAGCCGAGACGGGCACGGGCGTGCGGGAGGCGGAGCGGCAGGCCGGGAGCAGCCCAGCTGTGCCAGTGCTCGCCCGGCGGCCTGGGGACTGTGAGCGGCACACGAGACCCCTCCCCTGCACCCGCCAGCGCAGGCCGGCTGCGGGCAGCGCAGAGGGTGGCGCCCAGCGAGGCCTGCGGCGGGGCACTGGGTGCCGAGCGGGGGCTCTCAGGCGCGCCGGATGCATCCGAAGGGGCTGGGTGCCACGCAGCTGCACAGGGCGCCCCGGCTGCGGGAAGCCTGGGGCGGCACCCCTGCCCTGCCCTGAGCGTGCGGTCGCGAGCTGTTGGGCCAGATCCTCCGGTGCGTATCCAGGACCTATTTTGTTCTGCTTTATTGAGGGGGGGGGGGAGAACTGGGAGTCCAGAAGACTGAGCTTCGGCAACACTGCCGGGACCACCTCCACCTTCAAGCGTTAGCCCGGCACAAATTTTGCCAAGTGCTCTGGGCAAGTAGATGCACCAGAAACTTGCTTCTTTGAAAAAGCAGAACACCCCGACTTTTCTAGGTGGACCATTCCCTGCGCAGAATTACTTTCGTGACACAGAAAGCAGAATCACTTTCGTGACACAGCCCACAACAGACGTTCGTCTTTCCACACCTCCTTCTGTGGGAGGGCAGCACGGGGAACGTGGGGGAAGGAAGAGCAGCCCGGGCTCCTGCAGGCTGCCGTCCCCCTGCGCGCCGGGCCGCCCTGTGCAGTGCCCGAGCAGCCCGCTCGTTTCCATACCATGATGCAGGCGTGGGCCTTGTGGTAGTAGGAGGCATGCAGGCTCTGGAAGCGCTCCTGCCCGGCTGTGTCCCAGAAGTCTGGAAGGGAGGAAGCCCACACTCAGCTCGTCCCCGCGAGGAGGACGTCCGGCTCCCTGCCCACTCTTCCTGGCTGCAAGATGCCCTGGGCCAGGGTGGGCAGTGCACACCCCACATGTGCGAAAAGCGCCCAAGACAAAAACGGCACCCCGACGGCTGCAGAGAGCCCAAGGAGGAAGAGTCAGCCGGGAAGCCGGCGACGCCTCCCACTCCAGCGCTTCGGAGCCCCGCCTGGCCGTTCTCGCCGAGATGGGTGGGTCTCCACAGCCCTTCTTTAAAGAGCGAGGAAGGCCTTCTTGGGGCGACCTGCAGGGCACAGCGCCCCCCCCCACCCCGTCAGGCCTCGGCTGGGACATAAGCTTTGCGCGGCCAGCGCGCTTCACAGGCGCCGCACCGCCAGCCCGCGGCCTGCAAGCCAGGGCTTCCCACTGCGGGCGGTCCGGTCTCGCTCGTCCTGGCTGCAGCCCACCCTCAGCTCGTCCGCAGCTGGCCAGCTCCAGCCTCCCCCCTGGCTCCCCACACGTGATCCCAGGACGGGCCTGGGGTTCCCCGCGGCGGGTACTCCCACCGTCTGGGGCTGCTTAAGCGGCCTCTGCCAGCACCGGTGCCCAAAGCCCTGGGCCACCCAGCTGCGCGTCAGCCCGAGGACTGCGCCACGGAGCCACCCCTTACCCACGAGGATCGTCTTGCCATCCACCGTCGCGGTGTATTTGTAGAGCGTCAGGGCAAAGGTGGAAAGCTGCTGGGGCTTGCTGGGACCGGAGTCAAGGAAAGGCCGAGGGCGGAGGGAGAGGGCCGGGCGAGTGGCAGGGGCTCAAAGGAGCTCTGAGGTGCGGCAGAAGCAGGGGCTCGGACCATGCGACGAGGGCTGCCGGCCCACGTGACACCCGCCTGTGGCCTTTGCACTCCTGAGCTGAGTGGCCACTGGGTTGCACCGTCTCCCTCCCTTCTCGGTCCTGGACTCTGGGTGACACCCACACACACAAACTGGGATGAAAGGGTCCATCCTGCTCCCCACACCAACCAGCCGGATGCTTCTGGCAATCCCCCTGAATCAGCCGTCCCCGTCAGGGAATCTGAAGGAACAGGCCAAGGGCGCCTTGCCTGAGATAAAGGAGCTTGGAATGCCGGGCCCTGGAGCCACGACCCTGGGCAGGCTGAGGGGCTCTAGCTGGGCTCAGGCTGGGAAACGGGACACGGGGAGGGTCTCCGAGGTTGCCTGTGCAGACTTATGCCCGGCCACTATAGGCCTGAGCAGAACTCGCTGACTCTCCGCCTTCCGTCAGCTGTTGCCGTGGGACGTGGCAGAAGGTGGTCTGGACACATTACTTGAAACGGCGGCCTCTTCGAGCTACTTCCATGCCGACGCTTGCCCACCCGCAAGGGGTCACTGCCCCACAGGCTGCTGCCGCCCATTTTGCTGCCCAGGGAAGGGGAGAGGGTCCTGCATTTAGGGGGCTCGGGGATGCCGATGGTGGCATGCTGCCACGATGGCAGGGCAGCCCCCACGAAAGCGCAAAGAGCCGCTGCAGGCGGGCATTTCTTCTGGCCCGGCTTTTGGGGGCTTGCGGCGGCTAAAGGATACAATCCGTCCAGAAGGAAGCGCTCCATCAGTCTGCAAAAGAGAAAACCGGCCCGGGTAAGCGGCGGCCTCCCACGCGCGCGGTCCAGGGCTCTCCCCGCCCCGAGGGCACCGCGGCCCAGGGCGCCCCCCGGGAGCAGAAGCCGGGCGCCCGGCCCTCGAGGCCCCTTCCCGGGGGCGGGCGGGTGTGCGGGAAGCGACTCCCGAGGCCCCCGCCGGTGCTCGGCGCTGCACGCGGCGTCCGTCCCGCCAGGCAGGGGCGCGGGGCGCTCACTTGGACTTGCCCACCGCGCTGTCGCCCAGGCAGATGATCTTCACGTTCTCGGCCGCGTCGTACTTCTGCTGGCCCCGCGCCAGCTCCGGCACCGG